ATTAGATTATGAGTAAATTATATTATTAAACTGTGTCATCCTTTATACACAGGCACTTCAATGTTAGGCAATAGATTTGGCATGGTTTGCAGACAGGTAATAAAAACACATCTGATATCTTCGTTCCAAAGCATTACGTAGCTGGTTGATAAAGAAAAAGAAACATCATCATTCAGGGAAATTAATTCAACAAGATCTTTATGTGGGTGTGTTCTAATTCTTTAAACAGCTGCAAAATTGCCAGTGTTTTCTAGCCTGAGGGTAGAAGTGCAGCACAGCTAAATTTATGCTAAATGTGTTGATAGATGGGGCTCATGTCTCACCAAGCATGAGGACGGTGCGATGTGGTGTCTAGGGTTAGGATGCCATCTTGTGGTGGAGGTCCAAAAGTAGGCCATGAAAAAAACAACTTGCATTTATCTGCTCTTTTTATTGCTGTGTTGATAGCTCCAATAATACAGGCAATTTCTTTTAACAGAAAAGAAGTCTAGTAAGAAAAGATATCCCAGTGTGGAATACATAGATATTAACGTGGTTATCACTGGATAGCACAAGATACAATATTAAGAGTTCACAGAAAAATTGTGTACTAATAAAACAGTTTTAAATCTGTGAAATCTTACTTACCTTGCAATGCCTCCTCGTGCAACTGTCCTGACAGTTATTTTTTAATCTACAGTGTTAAAAATTATGGGGAAATTAGGAAAAGCCAGCTTTGTAAATCATTCATAAAGAAGCCTGTGGGGGATATTTTCCTACTGATTTCAAACTATGACGTTCATGTTCTCCTCCTCCCTAAACCTTTTGTGACCTAATTTGCTGCAGGATATGGGTCAAAAGATGTTCGAAGCATAGCCCCAGAAGGTGTGCTGGCATAAGCACAAATAACCATCCAAAGGAATTCAGCAATGACGTAAAAATCCAGAATTTCAGTTTTTTTTTATTATACACGAGCATGTATGTAAACAAACAGGCATTAAAGATTTCCTAACCATACAGGTATTTGTATATTTGTATTCAGTGTAGTATGGGTGCAATTTTACCTGAACAAACATTAATGGAATCATTTGAGAAATTTGAGTTTCATGAACAGGACTGAGGGTACCAACAGGGTAAGCTGTGAAAAAAGAAGTTTCTTAAACCAAAAGGAAGTGAAGCCATTTTAAGTTCTCTTTCATTCCTAGTAAAGTCAGGAAGATTGTGGGTACTGCAGCACCTTCCTGATAAAAAAGCAACCAAGCTGCCAGCGGATTTCACATCTCACGTCAGCAACATCATCCTGAGACTGCTGACAATAAGAGGAAACAGCAACGTTTTTCCCACAACATGAAAGATTATATGGTAAACTGCTTCTCTTTTTTATGTGTTGTCCCTAAAGTTTTTTTTATCCTCACTCACCCGCTTGTTTTAACTCTTCTTTTTCTCCATCCTTATCACAACAATTAATTCATCATCTTAAAGAACACGTCAGTACTGACTGTTTGGCTGAATCATACTATACTCACCGAAATGAGGCCAGGTGGAGCAGTGCAGAGTTTCTTCAGGTGTTTATCTTCTGGTCTCTCAGGTTTTTCAAGTTTGACAAGAGCAGGGTTGATGGCTTCAACAGGTGGAAACACGTGGAAGAGGAAGAGCTCTAACAAGACAGGTTTAGTCTATTCTCTTGTAGAGGTTTTACAAATACATTCAGTGCACAAAAATGTTACTGATTGCTCTAAACTTCACAAATTTGTTGTGTGGTGGCATTCACTACAAATGACCTGACGGAAGATCAGGTAATTTGTCATTTTGGGCCTATCATCGAGTGAACACAGGAGAACCCCCACAGTGACCCAGAGCATAGATAAGGGGAATGAGACGGGTTTCTGAAGCACACATACAAACAGAACTAAGTACAAAGGAAAAATAATGGTCATTTGGAAGAAAAAAAAAGACATTGCTAAAAACATTTGAGTAATGACAAGGACACGAGTAGACATGTAGCACACAAACTCCTCTAAATGAGTTGGAGGTCCCATTTCATGCCAGTTTAGCAGAATGTGCTTTAATAATTCGGCAGCCAAAGGCATATAAGGATTTGTTTTATTGATGTAATGATTAGATACTGATTTGCATAATTTTACATGCAATTACTGACTCAAAGCTGAGCATCAAGAAAGCCTGATGGACTTTATTGCTGTGACTAAAGTGTATACCAGACTAAGACTGAACTTATAATGTGTTTCATAGATATCATTAACTGACTCATTTTAACCCAGTTTGCTCATTTTGTTGCTCATAAATCGAAAAATCTAAACCCTCACATTCATCATCTTAAATTAAAAAAGATAAGACGACCGACTGATAAATGCACACCGTAAATTCTGTAGTTACAAACTACTATGGTTTACATTTCTTTGACATGCAGAAACAGCTTTAAAATGTGATGTAAGTCTGCTTGATTTAACTTACAAGTGGCACAAATTACTAATACTACCATCCTGCAAACAACAACCTTTTCATGAGCCTGACTGAGCATGCTACATAGTGTTACAAATCCCATGAGGTGCATTGTTAAAATATGCAAAAGCCCAACATACTGCCTTTGTTTTAGGCTACTTATCAAAAGCTCAAAATATCTGTTTAGATGCTTGATGAACTTTTGAAATGTGTAATGATTAAACAACGTAATCTATCACTTTTACTATCTAAATCAGTTGACAATAATAGACAAAGGGGGAAAGTACACTTGTGTGCACACTCTGAAACGTATGTGGGAGCCCTGAGGCAGAGCTCAGTAAATGGAGCAGCAGTAATTTTTTTTACAGGCTAAATATAATTTATTGTATTGACAATAAATTTGTTTGCTTTTTAGAATAAACATGTCAGCACACACGCTGATCATTTCATAGAGAATAATAAATATTTCAAATAGAATCCGGCCAAGATAATACCTTTTAAGGAAAATAGTTCCCTAACGTCTCATTTCAAGACTGTAAAAGCAAGTTTTAATTGGAGAGAAATAATAAGAAATGTTTAAAAAATGTAAAAAAAAAAATTGTATTAAAGCTGGATCTTTGTGAAGGCGATAATTCAGTGTGGGCACAGCTTCATACTAACTCCGGGTTCAACAATTCCACTTTGATTGAGCATTAAGACAATCTTTGCTGGCTTTACCTTATTCCTTATCTCCTCCCATTCTGCATTCGCACACATTCCTGTCATAAAAGCCACGGGCGGATTGGATCAAACCATCTTCATGGAGACTACCATTAGTCTTCTTATTTATTAAAATCAGAATACCTCCACTGGATTTTATACTGACATGCTAGAATTTAAAACATTATTTAATGCACACATCATGTCATTTTTGTGTTAATGTGTTCTCCGGAAGATTATATAGGACACAGTGACAAAATATTGACACCCGTTCCTGAGTAGTGGAGTCGTCCCTGCACTGCCATGTTGGATGGATCTGGCTCAACGCTCTCTGACGACCGGACTTCCCAGGAAAGTTTTTGCCGTGTTCCGTCTTCGTTCGGTTGCTCCAGGCTTGACCTTATTTTGAGAAGCTACAGGACGACGCACTCCATTCCTAGTCAGCATACATTTTTTTGGGCACCGCAGTCTCGCAGAGCCACGGGAAGAATCCTAGCCGGTGTGAAGGGACGGAGGCAGGCCACGGATGACCGAGGGATTGTTTATGTATCTTTTTGGATCTAGTATAACGAATTAAGAGTCGGTGCATACTTTATCAATTGGTCAGTAATAATGAGTGGACATCCGCCGCCACGGCGGCAAACAAATGTCGGTTCGATACTTCTGACACCGATGGAAAATGACTGCCTTTTTAGCTACCTTGGCAGGAAATGCATCGTAAGTTTTTTTTTTCCTCATGAAATTGTTGTACGATAGCCTGCTAAGAAAAAAGCTAACGCTGCTAACTAATGCCGTGTTTCCTGTCCCGGGAATGGAGATTAGGCTAGCTGTAAAGTGCAACGGTGTGTTTAAGGCCTACAGTGAGATGTTGTGATATTTTTAAGGTAACATATGTCTTCTCACCGGGAAACATTAGAGACTTCTTACTTAAGAGCCTGTCTTATTTTGACAGCCGACGCCACTGTGAGGGCGAGGGGCACGTAGCGATGTTAAACGTCCCGCTCGGGACCTGAGACGTTTGGGAAATGGTTCGATTCTTTAAAAATATTTTTCCCAGGCCCGCAGAGTTAAGAGCTTGGTACCCCCTGATATCAATCAGGAAGCTCTCAAATTTGCCCTGCCACTAGCTTACCCACCGTGAGCCTAGCCTCGGTAGACAGGAGCTAACAGTCGGAGCTGCTTAATCCATCAGCAGAAGGCAGGGCTAATGAGTGATTTTTGCCTTGGCATTACATAATGTGGCACAACCCTGGTTTGTTTTCGGCAAGAGTTTGCACCGTAAAAGAATGTGCCGACCAGACTTGGCATGCAGCAGAGCTGACTAGCTAAAAGTGTTCCCCCGTGCAGGACTTGCCATTCCCTAAAATCTGACGACAAAGCGGTGGGAGTAGCCTCCCGTCCCAAAGCGACTGCAGTCTGGATCTGTAGTGCAATGTCACGACTGGATTTTGTGAGATAATCTTATATTACGCAAGACGTATGATATTCAGATGATTCATTTTGATGTCCTCCTCCCGGTGGCCGTCTCGACATGCCCCAAACCAGGTGCTGGTGGCATGCTGCAGCTTTTTCACAGCATGCATTGATCCAACGTTGCATGGTTGGCATTGCTTTGCCAAGACATGCATTTTCTTCTTTTTCTGTCCCATCATCATCCCTAAGGGATATTTCAGTCGAAATAAAGATATGAAGTGAACCAAAGCTGTGCCTGAGCAGGACCAGGCTTTGCACCTCCACAGGATTAATTGGTATTAAATGTACAATCTGTGATTGTAGCCTTTTGTCTCTATTAGGGTCCCGTGGGCACGATCCGTAGCACTGATACCGAATGTATCTTGTAAATGTCACTGTGTGATATCACCAGGAAGGAATGTGACACCCTCACCTGTTATCGACTTCCTTCCTTTGCAGATAAGACTTGTTTTAAAGTAAAGGTTTCAGGATGATGAGCAGAAGTTAAACTGTGTTTAGTGGTTTTGTTGGTGGTAAATTCTGCCGGTCCTCTGCTTTTTGGGGGGTAGTGTGTTCACATAGAGTTTGAGCAAATGTATATTTCTTTATCACAGTTTCACAGCGACTTTCACGTAGCCCGATCTCAGGTTACTTCCCTGTGGTCATAATAGTTTCCTGTAATTGTGTACAGTAAAGGTGGTGTGTTTTGGCGGCAGATAAATGTCTGTTCCTCTTAATGCAACGAGGGTTAACAGTAGCATGCCAACTGTGCACGTCTGCTTTGGAAAAAGCAACGTTTCCTGTCTCATGACATACACCATGAAGCCAGTGTGAGGGCACATGGTCAGTTGTCCCGCCCACTTTAGGTGAGCACAGGTTTCTGAGGTGTGTGCTGCTGAAAGTCTTGTGACATTGCTGCTCTGGCATCCTAAAAATGATGTCATACAGCATGTGACATCAGGAACATTCCTCTCTGGCCCACTCTCCTCATGCATAGAGACAAAAAATGCGATACGATGTGTGTGCGTTTGTCAGTGTGAGAGGAGGCCTGGAAAATGCTCACATTGTGTGTCTTCCTGCCTAATTGGAATGCCCAGTGGAGAGGAATGGAGGGGCTTACTGAATGATAGCAAATTATGTAAGATATTTAATATGCAGAAACTGTAATCCAAAAGTTATTCTCATCTTCTTTCAAAGCGGACGGTTTGTTGGCGCCCACGTCCACTGTGTGTGGAAAAGCCGCGGCTGGTTAGTTGTTTGAGGGTGGCAGCTTTTCCTGTAGATTGATCTTGACAGCTGTTAGTTTGCGTGGCATTACCCCCAGAGTTTCTCAGGAATTGTTGCCCTAACAAAATCATCTCTGCAACCTTCTGTTTTGTTTTTTGTATTCCAAGGCCCGTGTGGCTGAAGTGAATATTTTGCGGGAGTTTTTCCAAGCTCAAAGCCCAAATCTTGAAATATGCAACCAAGATGCATAATTCATAAGTTTGAATGATCAGTATTTCACTTTGCACTCGGCAGGATGGAATTGGACTACTACACACACACAGAAGTCTTACTGATTGGTTTTTCCCATTGGTATTCCTCGTGCCGTTTCCACCGTCAGCAGCACCGACTTACTTGGCAAAAGGTGGACTGGGTCCAGTTCACAGTGTGTGTTTGTGTGCACAGACTGCCTGATCAGCAGTCCGCTCCTGCAGGAAGTCCCATAGTTGGCCTCCTCTGGCGATTTGTACTGGGGAAAAGGGACCCCCTCCTCCCTTCCAGATTTTCTCTCCCCCTTTGTACTCTCACCTCTTTTGGGATTCTTTCCTTCAATCACATTTCTTGCCCCCCCCCCCCCCATCCATCTCTCCCATCAAGTGCCCTCCTTTTCCAGCCCCTCTACTTTCTTCTGAACATGTTATCTTCTGTGTTTATTTTAGGCGTTCCTCCTCTGTTCTTGTACTTCCTTCCAGATTGAATCTTATTTCTGCTCTATTTTCTTGAATACCTTTCATTTTTATGGAATATTTTATTTTTCTGCCTTTTCACACTCATCTCATCCATTTCATAAATGCAAATTTAACACAGGAAACTTTTGCAACAAAAGAAAATGGACCAGACTTGGTGAATAATTCCCTGACTTTAACAATTAAACAGAAAATACATGATATTTTATTCTTTAAAAATTAGTAACAGTAGCTTTTCATGATCCAACCCAAACAGCTCATCAGTTTTTTTTTTAGTCCCAGCTTCTCTTTCCTTTTTTGTTTTTTAACCCTTCTCTCCAGTCATGCTCTCTTGATCCTTTTCTAATCAAAGCTAGCGTGGCTGTTAGTCACTGAAGTCATGAAACCGTTTCATAACGAATAATCTTCTGGTTGCTCAGGGTCAGCCATTGCATCACCGGGTCCTCGTGGACTTTATGAAGTAATGGGAGAAGGACCTTACGCATTTCCGTCCAGCTTCGATGATGTCAGAGACGGAGTTCTGCTTCCTGCTGCCTCTGGGCCTGTCAGGAGCAATCGGAGCTGCGTGGGCCGACGAGGCCGCGGGGCCCTGACCGGGTCACGTTACAGAAACGTGCACCGCAATACGCACTCCATATTACTGTTGTGGTCATTGATATTTCTGATCCAAATCCAAGATCGGTTGTTTTGAAAAGGCACAAAGTGTCTCTTTAAGTCTTCAAACGTGCACGCGTGCAGCGAGCCGTGCGCGGTGTTCCACTGGAGCCGCCGTCTGCCTGTGCTGGGCATTACGACCCACCTGTGTGACCTGCGTGACCTGGGTGTGTGTTCAGGTTTTCAGCCCACCGGTGACATTCCAGTGGAAGCGGCTCCGTTTGTTTAGCATCAAACACAGACTGAGAATGATTCTTTCGGTGTCTGGGCCCACCAAAGACCAGCACATACGAAGGCTTTGTCATATCAAAGGCATTGTTCCACTATAAATCTTCCAGCCTCATTTAAAGCGGCGCCTTCAGTTTCAGGTCCTTTGCTAATAAAGGGCCTGCTAGGATTGGTACATTTAGATATTACAGAGTCAGTTTCTTTGAAGTGAGTCGATTCTCTTTAATTGGAGAGGGTTTTTCGCTGGTGTTTCATCATCTTCCCTTGTCTGCCTCTGCTTTCCCACTCAGCATCCTGCTCACCTTTAACTACAAAGACCAGCGCGGGTGATCGTAACTATGAGGTGTTTGAGTATGTCCTGGTTCCTGGAATCGGGTTAGGTTGAAAGGTCCCCAAAGCCCCGGCAGGCATTTCCGTCATCATGTTTCTTACTTTCATGTTCATCCCAGTGGTTGTGAACTGAGACTCCCCTGAGTGAGAAAACCCCCACAGCAACATGTAAAACCTATGGGAGTCTAATCTGGCCTTATGATCTTGTCTGTGTGTGTGTGTGTGTGTGTGTGTGTGTGTGTGTGCCACAGATGTGTTCCTAGCGTGCATGTGTAGAACACTGTCTGACTTTGCCCTCTAAGCCTTTAACCCAGCAGCTTAATCAGCAAGAACACAACCATGTGTGTTTGAAAACGGATGTGAGTGCCCTAACAGAACTTTGTTCTGCATCTGTTGGACTTGATAAATGCTCCGGCGATATTAAGCCGCATGGCAGATGCTGCCGGACCGGCCGAGGTGGCTGACTTTTCCATATGTATTCATTAAGGCAGGCGTTAAGTTCATGTGTGGGTTCAGCCTAAAAATAGCTCAAATCCTTAAGGTTTTGAGACCTTAGGGGCCGACAACATGCGTGCTGTTCTTCTTTTATTTTTTTATTTTTTTTGCTTAACCAGAAGAAAGCCACCTCCCTGCATTCAAAGTCTTCGTTCTATTTGTTTTAAGGACTGACAGGCTCCAGATTCTCTGTTCCAACAGTAAAATGGTGCCCCGACAGAATTAGGTTTTCTTCCAGGTGTAATGATTTACATTATATTTAATTGTTTTATAGCTCAGTAGTGGCATTCTCTCCTTTGGCTTAGTAAACGTGGTAGTGATCTCGTCATATCTGCAGATCTGCTCTGCACATCATGATTGGCGAGCTTTGTGCTCTGTATTATGGCTACAACTGAAATTAGGAAAAAACTAAGATCATGGTCCCATTTCCAGTTAAACAGACAATTAAACAGGCTATGCATCAGTGGCTGGCTGCCATATTATTGCTAAGTCACTGGAGCGTGAAAGCGGATAGATTCAACTCTTTTCACTGGCATTTTCTTGCCGCGTCTCTTTAAATGTCTGAGGTGTTACAGCTTCCCCAGAGAGCTACCTCTGCATTTTCTGGAGCCTCGTTAAAGGAACCCTCTGTTCTGCAAATGCATGTTAAGGTCTCAGGCAGGAATTCATTTCCAGGTCCCAAACGATGAGTAGAATGTAAAGAATGTAACTCGGTGTGAAGTCCGCAGTAAAACTAGTGAAATTGTCATTGTGTTCATATTTAGCCTGTAATGTTATTTTTTGTTATTGTTTCCTATCCTTGTGATGTATGCAAAAACAATCCTGTGCATGCAGCACATACGTGACTCTTTGGCTTTTCTCTCCCACCTCCCAGACATTGTCTTCAGCGGTGGTCCAGGTTTTTACAGCAGATCGAAATGCCGGCTGGAACAAGAGGTGCTGCGGGGTGGCCTGCCTGGTCAAAGACAACCCCCAGCGCTCCTACTACATCAGGGTCTTTGACATCAGGGTGGGTACTCGACGTGTTCAGGACCGCATTCTGTTATTTTCAGCGTCACAAATAAAATGTGTGAACTGGTTTGTTTGCTCTTCCCCAGGACGGCAAGATGATGTTTGAGCAGGAGCTCTACAACAACTTCAGCATACACCTCCCCAAACCTTATTTCATTACGTTTGCTGGTGATGTGAGTTTTTTTTCAAGTTCTCCCTTAATTTTCGATCCTCTGCTTTCTAAATCAGCCATATTTTGTCAGGGGGAGGCATTTTTCTAAAGGTTTTCATTTTGTTCTACTCGTGAAAATCAGATTTTGGCCTAAAAGAGAAGACGGTGCCAGATATATTCTGTCACTCGCATACTGAGGCGGATTTTTAGCCTTCTCCCACCAGGTTTGACTGGGTCCTTCAGCCCCAGAACTCCCATCTGCCCCTGTTGCATTACTGTTAACCCATCTGCAGTGACTCTTTTTTTTCTCACTGGCTTATTTTACAGAAACACGTTTGCACCATTTAGTTCACAAAGTTTATTTTCTAGTTCTAGAAATTCCGTTGGAAATGATCCATTTGAACAATGTGTGGGCCCTCTTCCAGTTCCAGAAAAAAATCGTTCCAATCTTGGTTTCCTTTTTAAATCACAGCAGTGTTAAAATTTCTCGCTTTTTAAGATCTGAATGAAAGTTTCTGTGACGCACCGCTTTATATTTGGAGCGTACATCTTGTTGGTGGGTACGGCGCTCAGCCTCCAGCAGAGCGTGTGCTACGTGTGTTTGATTCATCACTGGGAAAAAAATGGTTGTTTGATAGACTGATGAATCATAAGAAGAAGAAACAAATGCATTTGTTTCACATTTCTTTTGGGATACTTCTTTGTGTTTGCAGACGTGCCAAGTGGGCCTGAACTTTGCCAGTGAGGAGGAGACCAAGCGTTTCCGCAACAACTTGTCCGAGTTGATTGGGAGAAGACAGAGGAAAAATGGTACCCGCTTACCACCTTCTCTGGTTTAAGATCACTCCAGACTCTATCCTAGCAGGGAAAAAAATGACAAGAAAAGTAACCTAAAACCTCATTTTCTGAGCTCAAATGAAAGTGAATTCTGGCTCAAATTAATAAGTCATAAAAGCAGAAGATTCCGTTTATTTGCAAACTTGTCTTTTTTTTTTTTACACAGTTCAGTCACACAGAACTGGGCAACTAGTTTTAACAATCAGGTTGAATTCAAAGACCCTAGTCCTTTTACAGTGTTATGGATCATAACTTGCCCAGTTCTGTCATCTGTGTAATTCTAGTTCCTCTTCTGATCTGATGCGTTCTTTTTCACGCACATAAAGCCGTCAGTGTACAAACCACCATTGGTTTAACTCAGGAGGCAAAATGTTGGCCATGGTGAGCCAATCACAGAAAAGATCACTAAAGTCAATAGAATGAACTTTTTTTTGTTTTTAGAAATCTTTATCACTGTTTCCTCTATAAACCCAACATGCTGGTTTGTCTGAATGGGAGAATGTTTGACCCTCTCAATTAAAGAAATATGCAAATTATGTTGAAAAGAAAAAAAAAAAAGCTGAAATGGACCTGCTGCTTGAACATGTTGTTTTATCTTTATCCAAAGGAAAAGCTTGAATTGCACATCTCATCAAATCACATTGCTCTACCGCAGCCTCACGGATGCCTTCTTTAACTCTCCTCATCACTTGTTTGATTAAGGCCGCCCGTCTCTCTTCTTCTTTTACCACGGGTCGTTTCCTGACCTTTCAAACGGATCGTTCTCCCTTCTTTTCGCCGCTCAGCTCTCTGCATCCAATGTCACATCTTCTTTCTTCTTTCACCTTCAACTACTGGAGAGCATTAGCATCTGGCCGAGAGAGAGAGAGGGAGAGTGTGTGTGTGTGTGTTTAGCTTTGCAAAGTAACCCCTCTTAATTAACAGCCTCGGTGCTTTTACCAACTTCACTCCTTTCGGTCACTCATACTTTAATGTTCATGTTGATGTAAAAATGGTCGGTGTGATGGCCCTTTTGATGGTTTGTATGTCTGAGTGTCCGTGTGGAGGACGATACAAGCTGTGATTTGTCTTTTAAAATCACTAACACCACACTCTGCTTGGCAGTCTTAATGAATAACGGCAGCCTGTGCGACACGTTCAGTCCCGCCGCCCCTCCGCTCTGACTCTAACGCTCACCGGCTTCTCTCTAACCAAACCCTTCTGAGAACAGGATTATAATGATATCATTTGTGTGTCTTCACAGAGAAAAGACGAGACCCTCCAAATGGTATGTTTTCTATCGTTTCCTTCAGAAATCAGAAGAAAGGTGTGCAGTTAAGAGAGAGAGCTGTCAGGGGAGGCAGTTGAGGATAACTCAGTTGGAGCTGTTACTTCTTTGCCCCTAAGCAGTCGAGACCTTAGACCTTACAAAGAATAGCGTATTTGTTGTCAGAAACCCCCCCCCCAAAAAAACTACAAACATATTTAAAGTGTCAACGAACTCGCCTATATGTCAACAAAGTTTCAGTTTGTTTAAATAAAGGTCGTTCAAAACAGCCAACGTGAGCTAAAAGCTTTTTTTCAATGAGAACTTTTAATTTCAGTTTGACGCTAAGAGTACTTTTTTAATTGGATATTTATTGGAAAACAATAAGCTCAAAGAAACAAAAACAAAATGCTGACCTCTGCCCCCTTTTTTTTTTATCTATCTCAGTTTGCTTCTCTCCCTATTTCTTTCACCCACTAATTCATCATGTTTCAGAAACCTAGGAGATTAATATGGGATTATTCCATGGATGGGTTTAAATGGTTATGTAAAGGCCGGCACAAAATCCAGAATGATTTTCCGGGATTAGATTGGTTTGTGTGTTCTGCTGGGAAAGGGAGGAGGTTGTAGCGGCAGTGGGTGGAGAAGTGATCATAGCAATCCAACACGGGCTTTATAATCCATCAGTGGGGAACAGAGGAGGACGGACAACGTTTGGCTGCTATCTTCTTCAGCATTGGCTTTTTTTGTTTTTCCCTTGAGATGGCGATACTGGACGGCTGCCCTTCGCAGAGCAGGCAGCAGGCTGGTGGGCTCCACCAGATGTTTGAGGACATGCATGTATTGAATTAAGACTTAAGACAGTCGCAGGTCTTCAAATGTGCTGGAAATCTTAGACCATCTGGGCTTTTAGACTTTTGCAAAGCAGCAACATTACTGGATTCCTCTCAGAATTCTTTTCGGTTCTTCCGACTAAAAGTATTCTTGACTAGGTCTTCTACAACTCTACTTTATTTTCACACCTGGAAAAGGAAAGTTCATATCTCTCTTGAGCGTTCATCCACCATCTGCCCCCGTTCTCACCATCTTTCTTGTGCCAAACCCACCTGCAATGATGTTCTGCACAACTTTTCTTTCGGCTCCTTCTGAGGAACTCACCTGCGAGGCCAGAAGGGGAGGAGCGGCCGCGGTGAGCAGAGGAGGTCTGGGCCCACGCTGCCTGTCCTCCTTACACTGTCTGGTTCTCCCTCAGGACGACCTGTACCCGTCCTATTCCAACCCCGCCAGCCGTCTCTCTTTGTGCGCAGAGGAGCGAGCGTGCGACTTGGTCGGTAAAATGCTCCTAAACGTCAGCATGGCCACCTGTGAAACGGGCGACGGGGGGTGTCTGTGGGACCGAGCGCGAAGGCGCCGCAGCCGCTCCGCCTCCCCCTCACCCACCCCGAGCCTCAGGAGCCCCCGTAGAGAGGGAGTCAGAGGTACATGCTTCCACTCCCCAATTCAGGGATAGAAAAACAAGGCAGAGTGCGCTTTGATTTTAACGAGGATCCGTTGGAAAACGCCTCATTCGGCTCCAAAAAACTTGAGTTTCTAAGTCGTTCACGGTAGCAGATGTGCTGAGCGGGGATGTGTGGTGCTCTGTGTTACAGCGGGGGCATTTGTGAGGGACCGTACCCAGCCTGATTTTAATGGCAGCGTTTAAAAAGACAGAAAAGGATTATTCTGTTTCTAACTTAATCTATAAATAGATGTTTGTCAGTGTGAAAGTGGAATGTAGCCGCTGTTGGTCCCCTGAGATCTTTTGGCATTTTGTGATGTCAGCCTGCGAGTTATGTAAGTTAAAGCTGATGTTTTAGGAGTGAGAGTTTGACCATAGTTGTCCTTTGAAAATGATTGTAGTTCAGTCTGAGTACAAGTTATACAACAGAGTCACTGAACTGATATATCTGAGACATTCCAAGCCATTTGTGAGTGAGGTTCTCTGATGGCATTCGAATAGCTTTATTAGTAGGTTGTATATCATTTATACCCTTTTTTTAATCAAACAAATCTGAATGATACGGTCATTCCTCTGTGTGTTGAATAATAATGTTAGATAATGTGTCTCATTAAGGAAAGGCCCTGAGAAACCACCGCAGGATCTTTGCTGAATTATCACTTTGAGGCAGGATTGTGTGTCATTGAAATGTTACAATAACAATTCAGTTTGCCAAGTATCTGCAACTTTAGAGCCTTCTCCATCCTCTTTCCAGGACCCACGTTGCCCATGGCTACGGTGGACATCAGAAACCCGGAGATCAGCGGTCAGCGTTTTCACAACTCTCAGATGAACAACCTCGTGCATTCCTCCTTTGGCAAGAGGGACAAAAAGGGCAAAAGCAAGAACAAGAAGAAGTTGACCAAAGCAGACATCGGCACTCCCAGCAACTTCCAGTGAGTCCCCTCTGGCACTAGGAGGGCTGATTTTTCACTTTGTTGATGAGCACCGGCCTTTATTTATCGTTCACTTTGTTTTTACAGCCCACAGTTTTCCACGCTTGGAAACAAACCCCTAGCTTGGCTATTATGGTTGGGGTTTGAACTGTAATTCGATCTGTGTGTTGTCTCATTTCTATTGGTGGAAACGGTACACGCATCCCTGCAGCTAGCATTATATCTCAGACCTGATCTGATGGATTCATCTTTGATTGCTGTCATTAATCATTTAAAGCAGTGACTTGCTGTCAGCCATTCGTTAGTTGTTTTAAGGTTATCGTCCCCTGTGGCTTCACGCAGGCGGTGATGGAGCGAGGCACGGCTCCCAATATTCTGACACGTGTGAAACTGAAGCGATGTGGTCTCAAACACCATTTCATTTTTCACTCATTACATTAATCTCAACCTGACACAACGCCAGCAGCCGATGGGTTCAAGCTGCGACTTCAACAAGAACATTGGGTTTCTTTACATTCCTCCTCATTCATCATTCAGTAAACAGGCTAAATGAATAAAACAAGGAAATCGTAGAGAAGAAATACTGAGAAGTAATCTCGGTCAGTTCTTTGAACCCTCAAAGAGTGAGAAAGTTCAGTCTGAGAAAAATACAGAGGGGAGATATGAAACAGCTTTCATATCTGGAGTTTTCCTGCTCATTCTGCTGTTGTGGATGTGATATCCTGATGGATCACAGACTTGGTTTGGAATTTTCTTTCCACTGGGAGGGATTATTTTCTGAGGCGTTGGGGGATAGGGGACCTTACAAGCCATAATGTTAACCCCATCATTCAAACATTACGGGACCAAAAAGCTGATTAAGAAATGAGGCAAAGTGCTGGATGTGTGGCTTATTTTATCTGAAGAAGTAGTAATTTTATAGCCGTGATTAAAACAATAACAGTCCGCTTCCTAACTTGGTTGAAAAGGCGAATTAGCTGTACGATTTGGATCTAACGAGCCGGGCTGTGGTACCCTGGACCACGGGGCACCTGGGACCTTTCATCTGCCCAAATGTGGAAAGACGGCTGTTTCCCTCTGTGCTCCTTCTGACATGTCGCAGTCAGTGGTCATCAGATTAAGCCACAAGTGCATGTCTGAAAGGGGCTTTAGCGGGGGATTAATAATGCAGACTGTTGCGTGTGTGTGTTGTTACTGGTTACAAATGAGCCATCTGGGTTAGAAGTGTGCTTGCTTCTCAGGTTTAAAGTTGAAACCTTGTGTTTTATCTCCTGGTTTGTTCCTCACACGTTCTCCTCTGCTCTCCTCACAGGCACATCGGGCATGTGGGATGGGATCCAAACACGGGCTTCGACGTAAGACCTTCTTTTGACTGTTTGTTCAGATCTGCTCATGCTGGATTTAAACAGATATTTTCAAATGTAATAGCAGTTCCTGATCGCTAAGCCAACCTGCTCGTCTTAGCGGGGTGAAGGTTGCCCGAGGAGATTTTGGAGGGAAGAGAATCAACCTGCAGCTACATAATCCAGGGCCTCGCTCCCAAATGTTAAACTCAGTAATGCTGCGGGATTTTGATGACGGCTTTGAGATCATACCGGTCGGAGAGCTTATTCACTCTGCAAATGGAATAAATTAAGTACAGTTATTCAAGTTCATGCCTTCATGGACTTGGACTGACTGCTAACAGGTGACGTCAGCCAAACTAAGCTTTCCTCACCCCAGTCATCCGCAGGATTTCAAAGTCCAGGTTCAAAGGTGTTGACTCACAAAAATGGGTTTTATCATCTGGACTGTTATTAGTTACAGGTTTGCTAATCCCACCTGTCCCAGTTTACTCGGCACAGCTTTTCAACTTACTTTAATCACCAGAGATGTCGGTTTGTGTTTTCATCAGAAATTGTCCCTCACCACTAGATGTCAGCATCCTCATTTTGCTGGATAAAAGGTTCTTTAGAAATGTCTCGGCAGGAAAGAACTCCAGAGCGAATCTGTTTAACAATTCTCAAAGATCCGACACCAGTCCTGGCTTTCTTAAACGGTGGACTTCTGTCAGCGAGACATTTAACCCGTGAGACGCAGGCATAAAAAATCACTAAAAGACAAAGTAAAAGTAGTAGAATCAAGAAGTTCTGAAACTCAGGGAACACACAGTGAGCGTGTTTGTCTTAAAAGTGGCTGTCATTTGGGCTATTTATGTCTGGATGAAGGTTTTAAATGGGACGTTTGCATGTGTTTCTTCTCCAGTTGAATAACTTGGACCCGGACCTGAAGAACCTGTTCGATATGTGTGGCATCTCCGAGGCCCAGCTGAAAGATAAGGAGACCTCGAAGGTGATCTACGACTTCATTGAGAAGAAAGGAGGCGTGGAGGCCGTCAAGAATGAGCTCCGGAGACAAGGTAAGGCGCTCCCAGAGCGGGCATGGTTCCGTTTTTACCGAAGGAGAGTCTGGGTTCCACGGAGTCTCATCTCTGGGCCAGGGATCGAAACTGGGAAAAGACTTAATATTACAAAGCAGAAGATAGAAGTTAAAAATGTGTTTGGTGGTCAATCGGAGACGGTCTAACTGGTGTGGTGGTTCTGTTCCCAGGTCCGCCCCGGTGGAGCGGTAGGTCCCCATGCATGACTGCTGTGCCAGCTTATGTCCATGCATGCAGAGTTGTTCTCTGAGTTGAGCCTCTGCTGTGACCTCAGTATTAAACCGCCTGCTGTCCTGCACTGGTCAGACTGGGAGTCGGCGTCCTGTCAGCTGACTCCCGTCCGGCTGGAGAAGCAGCAGGCTTTTGTTTTGCCACGTCAGGCAGATTTCCTTCATGTCACGGGGTCGTTTTTTTTGTGCCGCGAAACTTCCCGACAGTCTGTACTCCGCCGTGCGACTCCTCTCCTGCCCTCGCCAGGAGCACGGCCACTTTTAAACCGGCCCTCCGTGCCGCCCGCTCTTTGCACGCCACTCGGCTCTTTTGTGGCTCAGCGATGAGAGCCGCAGAAACACGGAGCATGATCTGAATACATTCTTGGTTCTCAAACATTCGGAATGGTTTTAGTCGCCGCTGGAACTTGACAGCATCCTCAGGGTTTTCCTAACTCCCTTTCCGCTGGCTGCCGTGGAGGAGGCTGCCCCCTGTTGATTAACTTTGTAACTGCATGGCTTGGCGCAGGCCACAGTTGGACAACTGACCAGCACTTTGGTCTGTTTGAAATCTTCCCGTTGTCCCGTCTTTGAGGCGGCTGGTCCGCAGCAGGACGTAAAACCAGTGTGAACTGAACTCTGACTTCCTTCGGGGCTGCAGTGTGGAGTGTTGAAGGGGCACACACTCCTCCCAGATTTAGCCTCTAAAGTCCGTTTTCTGTTTTTCCTCTTTTTTTTTTCAGCTCCTCCACCTCCTCCGTCCAGAAGCGGGCCTCCTCCCCCACCCCCACACCACAGCTCAGCCCCTCCACCCCCCCCTCCCCCTTCCCGTGGTGGGCGCAGTGCCCCACCGCCTCCGCCCCCCTCCAGAGCTCCCGTCTCTGCCCCCCCACCTCCCCCTCCGTCCCGACCGGGCATGTCTGCTCCCCCGCCCCCCCCACCCAGCCG